GTTATCACCCGACTGTTCTGTTATCATCCCAGAGGATGTTGCGTTTAAACGAGAGCTTCCTCGTGGATCTGCTGCGATTCGTTATTGCGAGAAAACGAGTAATCCAACCCGCGTATCCTTCCTTTCGTTCGGCGTTTAAAAAGAAATTTCGGAGCCAGAGACGGAAGTTCAGGATGATACTTAAAAGCTCTGCGATGTCGAAACAAATAATTCTGTCCATTCTAGTACCACCAGCGATTTACTAATCGGCACGTGTACCTCATTTTTTACCCAGGGTCTGTTTACGCACACCTCGGCTCAGTTTACTACGGTAATTACCGTACAGTCAGTAAGTGAATTTCGCCCAGGGCAGATTTTTTAACGAGCCTCGTTATTTCCTTTAGCGCGTTTTCATTTCCAACTTTTTCCACCGACGATTAACCCGAACGTTCGCTTCGCACGACATATCCCTCGCCTTTGGCTAACTTCTTTCACTGTCGCCTCGATAATGGCCTACCAAATCGGTTTAATTAGCACGACCAAGTCGATTTTACGTGGCCGATTATTACGCCAACAGTGACTCTCTCGTATAAAATAAAACGTTCGATCGTAAAGTTCTATTCATAGAACTTCCGACGCCTGATTCGTTTCGCGGTGTCGAACACTCCGCTTCCTGCAGGATCCGAGCGTGAAAACTCTCTCGGCAGAGCGCATCTGCCGCGGGGCAGGATTCGATTCAGCGCGGGAATAAACATATTTTCTAGGCGATCGGTCGGGCCATAAATAAAACAAGAAATTCCTCGAGCTGGTCCGCCATAAATCGTTTGGTCCGCGGCGTTCGATGGCTCGCAGGAACCGACCCGATCGTAAACGCGCGCGCTCGCTCGCTCGCTCACCCCTTAATACCAGCGCGCGACTTTCGATTTCGCGGTTCCCTCCTCGCGTTTCCGAGATTTATGCAAATCCAGGGGCGCTAGAAGCCGGCCGGAGAGTTTCTGGTCGTAAATCAACGGGTTATGCGGAGGGAACTTCCGCCAGTCGTCTCGCGAAACCCGAGTTCTCTTTTCACGTTCGGCCAGTCGTCCAACTTTCAAACGGATTTTTCCGATACAGAGTTATTTCCTTTTTCCACGGAGTGGAACGCCGGTGGCACGTTGCAAGAAGTTCATGATTAACCCTTTGACACCGGCTATTTCTAGCCAGGATTTAGTTTCGCATAAATCCCTCTAGCAATCGTTTCGACGTTTACCGAGCCTCTGTTCTCGGATCGAGAAGAAACGAGCGATCTCGTTCTTCTGTTGGGACGAACGGCCAGAAAAACGTTGCCGAGAAGAATTAATTTACGCTGTTACAAGACTGTTCTCGCGTTTTACGCTTTTCCATTTGGTTACCCACGCTTTTGCGCCGTGGGGGAAAAACCGAGCTCTTTGTTCCGCGTGAAACGTTATCAACGAGCGCTGAGAAGGGATCGGGGCGTCTATCAGGTGCGGCCGAGGAGTTTATGCGGCTAGAAATCCAGAGATGTTTCTCTCCGCAAGGCGAACGAAAAAAACGAGTGGTATCTTTATAGGGGCGGTCGCAGATACCGCGTGAAAGCGCGCTCGTGACTACGCGAAACACCGTGGGAGTACCTCGCCAATCGGTTTTCAAGCGAGATTCCTCCGGCGAGAGCCGCGTCTTAAACGTTTATATCGCGCGCGTAATTTCGCGGGGCGAGACCGCTACGCGAAAAACCAGTTCGCGTACCGTATTCTTGGTGGAGAAACCGTTTCGCGTGGGCGTGAACAATCGCGCAAAGTGAATCGGTTTGAAAATATTTCGCCGATGCTCGTCCTTACGAGGAAACAGTAAAACGCTGTAAAGTCCTCGCCTCTATTCTTCTCCCAACGCACGTTGCGTAATTCCGTGTGTTCGTGGCTAAATATGTACAGTATTTCACAAGTGTTAAAATCTGTGAAACGTATAACGTTAGAACTGGTTGTGCGTAGAAAGCGTTAGTGAAACACGAGCAGGATGTAATGTAAATTTCTCAACTAATGGATGTTTGTACGGCCATCGATAACACTTAACAATCCTCGGGGCCGAGAATTAAAAGCCGATGCATTACGTTTTTTATTACTTCCTGCAACGGGTATTGTCTGATAGTCGACGCCGCGCTTAATGAGCGTATTCGATTATAAACGCCGTTTATTAGTCGACATATGTGCACCGTTTCATATCGTATCCCGTTTATTGCGTTTGCCGATGCCACGGTACGTACGAACGTGTTTGATTGCAAGGCTTATCGTTAATTAACATCGGGGGAGCTCCACTGATTTAATCGCGGAGATCGTATTTACTTAGGAAATTCGTATCGAAGTCGCCGTTTATTATATGCCCCTGCCAACGCCTGGCAAATGGTTTTTGACAGAAACCGACTATCTCGCCATCTTGCAATTTTATTTACTATTCATTTAACCCATCGGAGGCGTCGTCAGTCGGCCGTTACTCGTAACCGGTCTTGTAATTAAATTCTCAAACAGTATCGATCGCGCCCGTTGACGCGAATCGAATCGCCCCGGTAGGAAATACGTCGGAAGAAACGGAGCACGCGATGCGACTGAAAACGCGCCGAGATTAGACCGGTCGGGACTTCGTTAGCGACCCATTGTGAACAGATCCGATCATTACGCGTCCAGTTTGCACAGTTCCTACCGCGTGGGAGGACTAGAAACGCGTAAGGGCCGAGACCGAGTGACTCGGTATAAAACTTTTTACCATTTGACGTATAAAAATTCCTTTTCAAAATTCCCGCGTGCATCGACATCGAAACGGTCCGTAGAAGCGTTGAGACTTTAAACGGCGGTCGTCGTGAAATGCCGAAAATTTCACGTAAAAGTTCGTGTCGCGTGGCAATAAAGGAAAGGGACAGAGGCAGGAAGAGTTGCACGGTTCGAGCGTGCGGAATCACGGTATAAACGTAATTTCGACCCACGCGGCGACCGGCCGCGCATACGTAATTCACGCGTTTTCATTGAAAAAGTGTACAGTCAGCGGTTATGCTAATACGAGGAACCGGGGCCGTTAGACGCGGCCGTATGTCACTGACCACCTCCGGCGCGGTACCCTTCTTCTGAATATAATGGACGCCCTGTTCTTCGTCGTAGCGAGGGTGTGCGTATTCGGCAAGCAACAGATTCATGTACATATATTCTAACACAGCGTACCGAGTCGATATTAAATTATGATTCAGGCACGATGTGTTGCCTCATACTTTCCTCTAGCATTTCTAAGTGAATTCGCAAGTATACGAACGACTTATGGGAAATTCATAAATAAAATTTACAATTCCATACAGAGAAATCTCAACATTTATAAAAAATGTATTAATAAAAACAATCGTGTCATTTTGCTAAAAGATTTTTATATGAATTTTACATTTGAAGAAGCTCGATTAATCGTTGAATTAATATTTTAATATAATATTGAGAGGTTTTTCATATGAACTTTGAAAACGAAGCTTGGTCAGTATCGAGCGTGGATTGAGCCTGACGCTAGTTTAGATGCTGCAGAACACTCGGTTTCATTGTTAAGCCGCCACTGCCACCTACAACCATCTGTTACTTTCTTTCTGTGGGTCTCGGTTAAATCAGCACCGTGCCTACTACAACCTGATTACATATGTACACACTCGACGAGTAAATAGACAAACAAATGCGCCTCCCCTTTTATGTACACCGAGGGAGTACCTCGGAGGAATGTTACGTGTACTCTGTACGCGAATCTTCGACTCCTTTTGCGTTCTTGATGAATCGTAAATTAAATCTGCAATTATTTTAGTGTTCCTTTGCTTTGAATTCGACAAACATTTCGATTCGAATATTTCTCATTAAAATCCTTTCGTAACGCGATTCCTTCGGGCAGTGAGAGAAACCGAGCGACTCCGTAAACAACTGTCTCGGGGCGAACGGAACAGATTTCATAGCCTGCCGGTCGTTTTGTAAAAAGCTCGGCTCAAAGCTCGTTGAGGTGGGAATGTAAACGTTTCCATCGATCAAAGGAGCCGTTTATTAATCGACCACTTTCTCGGCCGCGATCTTGCGCAAGCACGCTGCGCAGCCTTTTAATCCGAGATCGAATTCCTGATAGGATTCGCGAGCTCGATCGATCATCGCCGCCGACGTGATCGATATATCGACAGCACATACACGCAGACGCGCGCGCGTTACACGTCGTGTGTGTAGACACGGCGAGTGCATGTGAGGCACGTCGGTGGTCAATTCTATGCAGTTACGGATATCTCGCGGTCCATTAAGCGCCACCGGGTACGACGCAGTGGGCTTTAATCAATTTCTGGGCCCGTTCGGATATTGGCTCCACGTTCGGTTCTCCTTGAGTTGATTTATCGGCCGGCAGAAAAGTTCCAGCTGTCTCGAAAACGGCACGGAACTCCATTCAACCCAGCGTTCCACCTATTATTCGCTAGATCGCATCGATGCTGGAATCTGGTTCTCGCGTGTAATCGATTGTATTTTAATCGGAACGCGATACCGGTTTCTGATAGTCGAACAGGATCGCTGATTCTTTCGACGACGAATTAACTCGCGCACGTATGTAGAAACAGTCGCTGTTTAAATTGCAATCGAGAAGTTACGAGATCGTCGCTCATAGGATTGAGGATCCGTTAAAAAATGTAAAACGGAGGACGGAAGCAGCGACGAATACAAACGCGTCTCAATGCTCGGACGATAAATCTATTATGAAAGCTAACATCATCTGCTTTCTAAACAGAACACGCTGTACTCGGTATAAAGGCTGACATTAACTCTTCACCGCCTACCATAACTCATATTTTATCATTGGTTTATCTGATTGCATTGATCTACAATCATTTCCTAGCAAATTTCTCTAATATTCCCTAATTTCATAATTTATGACTGCATAATATAAAATTGACCCAAGTATCATATTTTTCTTTGTTAAATTCTGAGGTTCTCTTCGAGTTTTCTTTTAATTGAAACAAGGTCGATAGGCGTACTCACCAGGGTATCCTTCTGGAATTACGATCTCAGGTCCAACTTTCACGTCGTGTCGATAACGATGCATCAAAAGGGTAGCCGTGACTCTCAACGATCGTTGCTGCTGCTTGTACAGTAGTATCGGTCTGCCACCGGCACCTTCGACCCTGACCACCCTCGGTAACGAGAATCTGTCCAGAAACTCGCGAAGCGGCATGAACCCGGCACCGGAACTCGCAGCCTCCGCGGTCGCCTCCCTGGAACTGGGCAACGAGTCGTCGCCAGTTCCGGTGGCCTCACCACTCGATAAAGTCGAAAATTCACCACTCGACGACATATCGTATAACACACGACTTTTATTCACCGTTTCGTAAAACACTAAATTCGATCAATAGGCCAAGACACCGTCCTGAAATAAAAGAAACACAGAAACGTTAATACGATCTTCATTCATATTATTTCAACATTAAAAAAATGCAAGATTTTTTTATGCAATCGATCGATAATGAATTGATGGATTTTATTTGTTCGGGGATATCCATCGTCGGTTAGAAAAATCGTGGCAATCACTCGATGACAAACAAATGGGAAACATTCATCTTGCGGAGCAGTCGGAAGTCTCAAGGTTGAGATCTAGTTCTAACTGTACACGAGATAGAAATTAATGAGCGCAATCCGTAGCCGCAGATATCATAATCATCTCTAATAATGAAGCAACCGCTCAAACGGATGATCAGTCAGGTCCGTGTAAACACGCGCTACGTACTCGATTCCCTCGGATTACAGTTATTTCAATTTCCCAACACGTTTCCTGCCGATTGATTCTCGTACAGATATTAAAGATAAACACGAGTTGGTCATTAAGAAAATGGTGTACGTTTCTATTATTAAAAGTGATCAGCAGAATAATTCAGGATCATCGTAAACTTTATTGTTCGAACGTAGACCGCGAGTCGATAAGCGTGAATGATTCGAGCACCTGACGTATGGGAGAAGATAAAGAGCGAAGGGCTCTTTAAAATAAAGCGTGTAAGGGTTCGTTGTTAGGAATTCGTTATTTCCCGAAGCGTGGCAGCCTTGACAGTGATTCGCCTTTGGCGAAGTGTGCCTCGGCTAACGAGTGATTATGCTCCGCGGACCGGGACGACGATGATGGTGATGATGATGAATTTATGACGATGGTTATCTCTGGTGGCGTACCGCTGCGTCGCCACCGGTGTTTGTCTTTCAGACTAGGAGACAGTTGCCGCAAAAAATAGTGAAGCAGTAATGGAACGAGTCTGATTCGCGGTCAACGATTCGTTGACACAGTGCGCGGTCGACGAATCGTACGTAATACATTAGAATGGATCGCAGTCTTAATCGATTTAAAACTTCAATCTTCCCAGCTGGAGTCATTTAATGATCCACGTCGAACCTGCTGCTTCGCTCCCATATGCTCGGTTCCATGTATCGCGACATCTGCTGATACAATTACCAAGACAATGCCTGATTCCTGTTTAAGAAAAAAAACGCTACAAATTGCGGCAGCTAGTTAAGCAGTAGCGCATGACAAATGGGATTTTTGCGTTCGACGACTGGACAATTTGCCGTGTCGGTTTAAATTATCCTGTTACGAATCAAGGCTCGCTCGTTACTCGTCACGCAATATTTTTTACAAGTCGACTCTCGACGCGTTTTCAGTCATGATCGCTGATCAACGAGAATTCGTCGAATTCATCTGTCGAGGAGAGCGAAGCGTTAAAAATATCGAGCGGCGAACAGAATTCGGATGAATTTCTTTCGGCGCGGACTGTATTTCTTAATTAATTGATCCGAATCAGATTGAAATAATTGGCGTGGAGGCAATCGAAATTCCGCGCGCATCTCCGTTCCCTCTTAGGAACGGGTAAAGGACAAAAACGCAGTTTCCCCTAGGAGGGTGACTTGCACCTGTACCATTCTTCGGCGTGCATGCATGCGCCTCGCTCGCATCGCATACGAATGACAAGAATTAATATTCCAGCTGTGTAAGATATGATGTGCGAAGACCCCGGGCATTATCCACGGTTCCGGTCATGAATACGCATGAGCGAGCGCTTTTTTTCCTCTCTTCCTTTTTCCGTGAAACCGACGAGACAGGCCTGCCACCATGTTTGATCCTTGCCCGATTATATTTCCCGCCGAGACTCCATTTAATCGCCGCGTAATGGACGTTTAATTGCCCGCCATAAAACCGATTACCGATTTACATAAACAGAAAATCATTAAACCCGTACGCTCATCGAATCGTTCGTTGTCCTCCGCTTTCTGATATCTGCGCTGCGCGTCTCGCGTGTTCGTAAAGAATTTTATCAGAAATGTGTATTATATGGATTTCGATTTTTAAATTGTTGTAAAGAATGTTTTACTTCGCTCGGTGCAAAGTCGTCAACGATTATTGTCAACGAGGACAGGAGAGGACGTTTTGTTCTCCGCGGTTCACGATTCGGTATGCCAGGATCGTCCGGGCGAACATTTTGTATTCTGTCACCGGGAACGGCCTTTGCCTCCGCATACGCGATCCTTTGAGAAGTTTAGTTCAATTTATGCAGCTGTTTCTTTAATGAATCGTCACGTCTCTACGTTCCGAGCGTTTCGCACTTTCGAGATCGAGTTCGCCGAGTTCTGAGGGCGAGGATTGAAATCCGCGAGTTTTCGTCGCAGGGCACGAAGGTTAAGGCGTTTCGATTCCCTTCGGAGAAACGGGAGGCTGGTCGTCCTCGAAAGAAAACGCTTTCGAAACGCTTTCGTTCTCCACGCGAAATCGGTCGACCGTTGCTCCGACGCGGCGCGGCGTGCCATTTCACTTTCGAACGCGTTCCTTTTTTGGTATCGGCCGGGGCGTTTGTCATCCGTAACACGCGTAATCGCCGACGCGCTTCATCGAAATTAGCCGCGAGCCAAATTAATTAGAGGTACTTCGACGAGATTATGTCTCGCGTGATCAATACGAAAAGATTCAATTAATTAAAACGGAGGACCGTTCGCAAATTCAACTGACCGCGTCGCCTACAAATTTGTTAATCATTTCGAATGACAGATATCGCAGTTCTCACAATATTTTAAAATGAAACAAATAAGAGATGAAAGATTTTCTACCTACTCATCGCAGAGGCGAATTCTGATGAAAAACGGAAATGGCATGAATATTAAAAAGCAGACGATCGCGCGATAAAACGTAAAGACAATAAAGTCTGCGGGACGAGAGAGGACGTCGATGGGAAACAACCGAGCCGGCGAGTGAAAGTCCCAGATTTAGCAATTTGCCCATTAACGGCGCACTTCGGCCTGGAAACGCTCCCCGACGCTTTCCGCGCGTGACGCCCGCGTCCCTGACGTAATAATCCGACGCGGTGCACGCGTCCGTTCTGCGTGCGAAACGGTCGAGCGGATTTAATTAAGATCGCGGCAGGAAAGTCGGGTCGCGTCTTACTTTCTTGCGAGGCGTCGCGCGATCGTAATTAACGAGCCGATCTCGCGTCGGAGAAAAAAATACCGTACGGTTATTTTTAGACCCGATGCCTGAATTTATTATCGCGATGCGTTTTAATATTGTGCAACGAGTTCCGTGAGAACGAACCCACCTGGCTGTGTTTCTTTCCTCCTCGTTGGAGTCTGACTAATATCGAGTCATTCCACTGTTTTTACATTCGTGACAATCGACTGTACGGTGTCGCTCGTAAAAATCTCACCCGGTTCATCCCCCTCGCTTTTTCTTGTTTCGAAGAAACGCTGGACGTAATTATTAAATTCTTCCCATACAATTTTCAACCAGAAATTACGATAACTATTGCAGAGGCCGTAGGAAGTACGAGCGATCGTCTGATACAGAAAAAATCATCGAAAATGAACACGTAGAACGTGAAAATTGTTCGAGATGAAGTGATTCATGCTAGGAGCGAATAGACCAGCGCTGAAGTAGTAAACAATCCGTAATTTGCATAATTATCGCCAAGGGACAAACTGCGCCCCTTCTTTTTTCAATCCAGAGCGATGAATGTTTTTCGAGTAACTTGTAACACCAGAAAATTCCGAATAAACTCGTCAACAGGCTTTAATAAAGTGTTAACCGTATAAAAGTGCAAACTTCGTTGAACGCGCGAGCAGCGTTTCGCATAAAAGACGAGTTAACTTGTTCTGCCCGGTTGAGAAGTTAAAAGCCGTCGTGCAACATTTTTGTCCGCGTATAAATATACGCGTATACGCTTGTTTACTTTTCTTTGGCAAAACCAGCGGCCGCGAATTTTTTCACCGTTCCAACGCGGATACTCTTTAATAGACCCCTTCTCATTTACGCTCATTAATGTTGCACGAGTTCCACGCTTGCAATCCTTTATTCATCAATTCATAACGTTAGCAAATCGTATCATTGGGAACTATGTACTGAATTTTTCGGATTTTGTACAAACAGTAAACCGTTCGTTGTAAACGTAACGAAGTTTATGCAAAATCCATGATGTGTGTCACTGCACAATTTCTTCCTTTTATATGGTATGTGAATTTGATTACACGCGTAACGATGTGCATTACAATAGAATCCTTTGTACAATAGAATTGTCGTCACAAAAATTAGGTTTCTGAAAATGATTGTTTCATTGCCTATTTGTGATACTCTGTATGTACACTGACCTTTCTCACAATAGTCCCAGCCTGGCAAGATGTAAATACTTAAAGATCCACGGGATCCACGCTCGTACCTCTGAAGATCGCCGAGATCTCACCGGTCGTAGCACGCACGCGGTTCACCAGCACCTCAGAACTCGCGAGGGTAACGCGCATCACGTGAACTCGCAGGGGAAGAAAAAAAAAAAAAAGAACAAATAGACGGTGTAGAAATTTCACCCGTGACCACCGATCGGATCTATCGATCGGATCTAAGCTCGACCGTGGCGTGGCGCGATCGATCAACGATCGACGACAGACTGAGCACGGGCGACGGATCGATCGGTCGACTTCTCGAAGAATCGCGCGGCTTGAGGTGGGACGACGCGCGGCGCGATCGATCCATCGATCGAGCGGGTTCGAGCGCGGCGTGGAGCGGCCCGACGCGACGCTCCGGACGAGATCGTGCGACTAAAGCTCGCGCGCCGATCCGCGAGGACGCGCCGCGAACGGAGCACCGGATCCCCACCTCCGCGAGAACGCCTCGAATAAACTGTATCGCGCAGACTCGGATGCACACACACCGGGCTCTTTATTTTATAAGTAACGCGTACACACCCTTTCATAAGTCTCGACACGTCCAGGGTGTATCGATTGAACAACGATATCCGCTGTATTATATCTTTCCTACCACCCGAAAGCTTTACGAAAGTCAATTCCGACTTGACATACGAGAATCTATCGAATTATCGAACTCTATCAAAATCATGTTCATGTCAAACGTCTTTGATCTCTCAAAAGAGTAATCCAATTTTATGAATCATTTAATATATGATTCAATTAATGATTCGATATGATCTTTTAATTAATGGAGAATTTTCCGGATTGTTTGCTGTTGGATAAAGAGCTTGAGCAGTTCTGACGAGGACTGTACGCAGAAGGCAACGGAGTAACCGAGTAAGTACTCTTGCTTACTTACTTACTTACGGTTACCGCTCCTTTCCATTTCCACTCCCCCTTTCTATTCGAACTTGCCTTTCGAGGACCGTCTTTTCCCGCGGCCGCACGCTTCCGGTTCCGCGGCAGATTTCCCGCTGCGCGAGAAACAACCGCGTTCTCCACGCTCAAGCTCTTCCGACCGATTTCCCTCTCGCTTAAAGTTAACCGCGATGGTGATATGAAATTCTGATCCATGGTTTCCCTGACGTTGCGCAACAGCAAAGCGTCTGCCACGAAATTCAATTAACCATCCCACGTAATTAGCCGCCCGTCCATGGTGTGTAAAGTACAATAGTTCGATCGTATTGCTATTGAAAATAGCTTGTCTTTAACGTACGAAGTTGTGAAGAATTTTTATTCAGAACGAATCGATAAAAATGAATGACATTTGTTAATCACTATTTTTATCGATTATGTACGTTTACTATGGTGTTTCCCACTGAATCAATGAAAACGCTCGCACGCGATACCTTTCGAATCGTCGATTATTTACGCGAGATTCGTTGTTCGTCCGCGATAAGGTTCGAACGTTGAACACTTATCGTCGAATCGATGTCGAATGCCGCGGTTTAATTGCCGCGTGCATTCGCGGTCTAATTAACAACCGCGTTATGTAACGTATTCGTGTAGTTGGCGCGGATTATCGCAGTTCAGCGTGGACCATCACTTCTCCAGATTAAACGCATAATCAGCGAATATGTTACGCCGCCAGTACCATTCTTCTTTATTTCGAAACGATCCGACGGACCTTTGGTTAGCAAAGGATCGGTTCAATCGGCAGTCAGTATGGTGGAAAATTATTTTTAAGGATTCCTCGCAATTAGAGTTTAATTGGATCCGCATTTCATGCGTGTAATTGAGATAATTCCACGCTCTTGCAATTAAATAAAGATGCGCAGTGTTACATATTAAAAGCTTTTGAATACTGTATAGAAAATTTAATGATGACCGGGTGAGTGCATCATCCTTTGTATTTCGTGCTCGTGCAATAGTTTCCGAGTCGTTTCCGATAAATTTCAGGAGAACGAGGAAGCAATGGTTCTATGAAACACTGATTATACAATCGTCTCGGTGGAAGTGCAAATTGCACCGAGCAAGAAATGTGATTTCAATAAAAACGGAGATACCCCATGGGCAAGACCTTGCACGCATTTCTTACCATAGACTACTCGGAAAATTGCGCGGGGAAATTCGCTCGTCCAACTTTTTACACAGTTCTCACACTGTCGTAAATAATTAAAAGTTTATTAGGGTTACACAACATGCTTTTAGGACTTCTAATATTTATACTCTTGCATTCACACGACAGACTGGGTATTGATTTATGTACAGAAGAACCGGTTATTTAAACGTGTAATTTATGTTTGCATTATAAAATTGGCACAACGTGCCATGGAATACGAACAAAGCAGTCGCGTCTCATCGTTTTCACTTAAAACCGATTCGAATCTTCTCTTCGTAATTTAATTTCGATTCAGTTTCTCGACGTGCGTATACGTACATCGATACGAGTACTCGCGAACGTATCCTGCTCGCCAGATGCGGACCGAACATATGGTGTGCCACTTTTCAGAAATCTCGGGGAACCGCTACGCGACGCGTGAGCTTTACGACACCAACCGTTCGCGCGTACCCGTTTGCCCTCTCATCATCGTTTTTCACGTTCGCTGGCCCTGTGGCCCGCGCGAACAATTAGCGCGAGCTCGGCCGACGATTACGCTACACCTTGACCCCGAACACATTATAAGACGTCGTGATCCTCGCGAGAAAATCGCTGCCTCGCGCTTCACGGTCAGCGTATCGGTATTAAACGTAGATACTCATTCGCTCATTTGGCAGATGTTAATGAGAATCCCGTTTAACTCCTTTTATTTTTACGCGCACTTTTAATTCCCCCGAGAAACGTTTCACTATCCAGAATAACAGTCAGAAGAAAAATCGCATAACTCGTCGAATTAATAACCGTGAAGGTAATAAAACCGCGGATGTCTAATAGGATTTGTCTTCGGATCGATTCGACGAGGATTTAGACGGACAATAATCGTGGTAACCCACCCATGATGCAAAAAGCGAACGCCGGTGGTTACCGTTACTATGGATTTATTAATATTCATGATGTCAGCGATACGCTCGGGTATTGCGATACAAGGTTTCCTTGTACCCTATTCATCGGAGGTGTCCGTTTCTCGGAAAAACGAGCAACCGCGTTTCTCCCGGTATGCAGCCAATAATGCAATCCGATTGATCGTTGCGCAACGATATTCTGCTCTACCGTCGCCGATACTGTTTTCCACGCTATGTTACACGTTGATCGATGCCGAGTACAACTCGAACTATCTCTAATATCTATTTGCGCCGCTCCCTCCTCGTTCAAAATCGTTGTTATAAATAGACGCCCGCGTTTTTAAGGGATCGTGCGTATGAAGGTGCGCACTGGTGTTAACGTGCGCGTGTTCCAGCGAAATCAATGACAAGTTACACGTGATACTTCTCATTGATTTCGATTAATGAACTTGGTGTGAAACGTGCAAAGAAGGCTTTCATCGGTTAATTACTCCGGAACGCGAGAGAGAATATTGATGGCAGTGTTTAGGCGAGAAATTGTTAGCCGGCCGTCATTGTCCCGGTAATTGCCGGCCGCGGAATGATTATTGACTCGCCACGTCGCTGATTACAGCGACGGGACGCACCGGCCTATTAAATACGTTTCCCCGCGAGGACGTGGTCGTTGTCTAAGGTCACGGATCCACGGACGGTTTTGAATTATGCGCCTCGATCCCTGCCATTGTGCTAAGGATAGGATTGAGTCACACCCTGATTTTTTCACCGTTTCCTGTCCTTTTTCACCGACCGCCTGCTGTTATTATTACTTCTTTGTTTTCTTTTCCCCGCCGCAAAATACTTTGTTGCAGACGTTAGCTCTGATGAACAGCCGATGATTACAGGCATTGTTCGGTTGTTATTTCAGGATTGTTGATTGATCAACAGGGTAAACAGGGATCGATGTTATTTTATCTTTTCTGAATCCATCGGTGCATTTTTTACTCCGTCGCGATCACATTTTTCGTTCGAAAGAAATCGTTAATATAAAATATCACGCGAGAGATATAAATATAAATCGTATCGATCACTCGAGGGATAGCGTCGCGTTTCGTCTCGAAACTGCGTTGATCATCGACGATCGACGTTTGTGAACGGTGCCAACGCGAACTTTATCAAAGCGTGTTAACTCGCGTGACATCCTGAGCGACGCAGCAGCCTGTCGGTTTTTCCACCTTCAAAGGGACGAGTGCCATCAAACGTGCCGTGCGTATTCCACGTGTTTGTATGCGGCTCACGAGCCGAGTACAAAAACGTGCTGCGTGAAAAAATTCATCGTTAGTCCGCGTTTATGTAAAACGTGAAGGCTCGAAATTGAAATGCAAAACAAATTTCTATACGGATTTCGTTTGATCAATCGGTATCGCAAATGCGTTTGCATAAAAATTGCATCCCTCGGGCGAATTCTTTGTCCAAGGATCGTCGACGCGAGAGGATCCATTGGCGAAATGATTTCGCGATTTAATCGGCTCTATCAGGCAGCCGGCCGTCAAACGCGCGAGGAATAAATGCTTTCGTTTCACCCGCGGGTCAATATGTTCTTGCCGGCATACGGAAGCATACCTATCATGCATCGCGTTCGCTAAGACGGATAACCTTCCGAAGGTCAGCGCCTTTGGTCCTGGACAGGGGATATCGCGCAGAAAAAAAGGTTTACCGGCGTCTAACAAATTGAATGCATTTTATTAAGTTTCGAGATGGAACGGTCCGAGTGATTCAGCCCGCGAACGAAAATAATTAACTGCATGCCTTTATTAATGTGCATCGAGCCGGTATGAAATGAATTAAAACTCGACACTGCGTTCGCAATTCTGCAACACTGAATTCGCAATTTTTATACTTCACTCATTTTCAAACGAATTAAGTGAATCTGGGAAAGGATCACAGATGGAAATCTTCTAAGAATGAGATCTCGGAAATAGTTTCGAGTTTTCGAAGAAAGCATGGAAACACAATAGCAGAGATAGCTTGTTACTCCGGCAAACATATATCATCTACTATAATTTTACAATTAGCCAGGACTTGATTAGCGTCTCACGGTAGTAAAAGAAAACTGGCAATTGAATAATTATAGGAGTAAACACGGGAATTAAACGGAATTAACTCGAGCGTGGATCGTTAGAGACTTCAACCGTGAAATTTCAACCGCAAACTGTGCAAGAAAAGTATAAAACAAATATCGGTAGGTTGATTAATACTGTCCACAAATTGCCTCATCTTTCTACGTTCTGCAGCCGACCTTCTTTTGCAACAATGTTATGGATGAGACCGGGCCGTGTGCGAAGCTAAGAGAAAATTATAATAATAATCAACCGACGTATGATCGAAATGTCCGAGACAGACGCATTTTTTAAATAA